CGGCTTGTCATGGAAATGCAGAGCTGGGACAAGAGCATCCCCCAGAGCACCTTCCCTATGCCTCTTCTTTCCCACTGACCGCATGACACCTCATGTTGAGCATATAATCCACAGGGTAGGTGCGATGAAGAGGACCAGGGTGTCTGGAAGAAATAAGGGGAGGCAGACTGCTGTCCTCTCCTTCCTGCACTAGCTCCCAGTTTCCCCAGGTGCCTCTGCCATATAGAGCACTGGTAGAAGACAAAACCCTCTCTGAAGCTGGCTGGCTCTTACTGCAGGCATCTGTTTGCAGACAGCCCAAGAAAAAACAGCAAAACAAGGAGGTACGCAACAACATTTGCCAATGCTGAGCACGCACCTGCACACAGAAAGCTCTCTCCAACCACGCTGTTTCAACAGTCAAAGTTTTTTCCCATTTGCCAACAGTTTGATGTGACATTTCCTGAGCCTTTCATAAAGACTTCTTTTACCTCAGCTGTTTGGTCTGGGCACTGTTTTTGCCATTGGCTTTGTCTTTCTTCTTGGTGTGTCTCCAACACACTGGCCAGGAGGTTTTTCAGAAGCAGCAGCATTCAGCTGAGAGGTGGCCCTGATCTTCTGATGTAAAACTGGATTCACCTGATAGTCTTCATCACCTGGGAGCAGAAACATCACCTGGTTCTGAAGCTCTGTCCTTCCCGGTGACTTTGCCTCTATTTGCAGTCGCACAAATGAAAACCAAACCTATCCCTGGCAATGCATGGATATGTTCTGCATTTGCATTTGCATTTGCCTTGGAGGCAGGTTGAAGACATTTGCCTTACGACTGGCCAAATTTAGGGAAGGGACAGTACCTTCTTCTTCGTGGGAGGCCTGGTGGAAATACTCCTGCAGTGGGAAAGAACTACATGTTTGGGAAAAATAGGGAAGTACTATTATAGTGTTCAATTTTTCCTAGTAGTGGGTATGTGCTGTAAAATGCATGCGATGCCTGACATCATGGGAGAAGAACTGCCACTGTAAAAGCAAGAGCTGGCCGCATAGGTACAGGAGGAAGGAGGAAACGAGTAGCACACGGCAAGTGGCATCTACAGCCTCGGCCTCTCCATCTTCTAGGCTTGGGCCTTTGGATTTGATCCGGCTTTACTCAGCGAGATGAAATGCAAGGGGGAGTTGTGCAGGCAAGGACCCTGCTGGTAAGGGGATAGGTTCATAAAGCACAAGGTAGGAAAAAACTGTCCATGCAATTTGAGGGAAGAGTTTAAATCAAGTGCGGGAGATTGCTAAATTCATCTCTTTAACATGGATACAGGTTTGTTTTGTTTTTCCAGTAGCAGCACTGAACAACCTTTCCAAAATCTGGCCATCACTAGGCTATTCAGGAGTCTCTTTACAGACTGGTGACCAGTGCAGGTACCAGGAGAGAGTACAAAGATGAGACTCCGAGCAGTGATGCATCCCGGCCTCCAGCCACTCTTGCCTCCAGGACTTCCTGGCCAGAGTGGGTGTCCCTGTGTTCAGCCGCTCTAGAGGATTTATCTTCCCTGAATAGACTGAATGATCAGATTCAGATCAGAATGATTTTGCCCTGTTTAAGGTTTAAGCATCCTCCAGGCAAGTCCTATGTAACAAAAAGTACAAACCTGCCACTGGCTTATTTCACTGAGGCCTCGTGCTTTCCTACCAGCAATCCTTCTCCACGCCTGGCGTTACAGTCTACTGTTACATCCTTCCTCGCGCATTCCTTTGCCAGGCTGAAAAGTCCCACTATGTGGTACAGAAACACCCCCGTGCTTTCAGCCCCTTTGTCACCCTTCCCCACACTCTTTCTAGTTCCCTGGTGCCCTTCCCACAATGGAGCGGGAGCATCTGGCGCCAAACACTGGATTGGGACACCCACCAGATCCCGGCCCCCGCGCTGCAGTGCCCCCACAGCTGAGCCGGCTGCACCCTCTGGCGGAGAGAGGCCCGCATTCACGGCCACACGTTTGCTAGAAGTCAGGGAGAGAGACAAGGCACCACACCGTGCCTGCCCCGCTGAGCTCACGCCACCCAAGGTGTGAAAGGGCCCAGCCACGGGACGTAACCCACGGAGAAGCAGGTGCACTCCCTCCGGGGCATCGTTTGGCCCAGTCATCTACTGAGACTAGCAGGTCGCCAGGGAGCAGGCCTGGGACCAGCAGCAGCAGCAAAGCAGAGCTAGTTTTCAGACAGGACAGAGCAGGGGCACAGACTCCTGCCCTGACCACAGGGAACCGTGACAGCATCCTAACTATGCCCTCAAGGTGCTACTTCATTCCTGATTTTTTGGCACAAGTTGGTATTTTCTAGCTCTCAGTCCTGGAAGTTACCTGGAGCCAAAAGCCAGATTACGACACCCAAGGGAGAAAGCTCAGCTTCAGGCACAGTGCATCTGACTGTTCTGCTGGACCATGCTGGCCACAGGCTGAATATGCTGTGGAATAAACTTCACTTCTCCCCTGCAAGGTGACTGCTTCTCAAGGAGAGCAGAGAGCTTTACTCATCTCCTGTGATGGCAAAGACTAGCTGATCTCCAGGCAAAGGGCCACGAAGAGGATTTCTCTGCAAGCAGAGCTGATACTCACAGAGGGGCCTTGCCACAGTGACTCCACCTCAGCTCCCCTCGTGTGATTGTCAAAAGTCACAGGGGGGTTGCAACCCTGAGCCCAAGCCCTGTTACAGCAGAGCACCTCTTTCCCAAGAAAGATGCGAATCCCCTCCCACCTCCCCCTTCAAACATCTCACCTCCTTGAGGCTCAGGGGAGCTTTGCTCCTGACTCTGCTGGGAGTGGTCTTCGGCACAGAGCCAGCGTTCGCTATAGGTGGAATGAGGAGCGGAAAGTGGCCTTCAAAATCAGCATGCAAGAGAGAGTGTGGGGACAGCTTTGTCAGCTCACAACACTGCAGTGTGTACAGGAGCTATATTTATCCACATGGCCAGCCAGCTATATTTATCTGGAATGCCACAGGAGCCAAATGTCTTAGGGGTAATTTCTGTGCTGTGAAAGCACGTGATCTGGATGTCCTTTTTATAGTAAACCTCCTCTTCTGCTTCCTCCTCCCCTTTTCCAGAAACCATAGCTGCCTTCCAAGCCCCATAAAGTTTTGCCCTTCCCTGCTCTGCTTTACACCCCAGTATCCCCCAAGGTGATGCTGGGCTCATCTTACCTTCATCTGTCTCCCACAGCCCTCTCTGAGCTCCTTTTCTTGCTGCCACTTGGAGCAGATATGGTTTCATTTCTTTCTCCAATGGAGCCATTTCTCTCGGTGAAGGGAGAGAGCTACAGCAAAGAGAAAGGTGGAGCTATGAAAGACTGAACTTTGGGGAAGGAAACCAGCCCCAGTGAAAAGCGGATCCATCCACTGATTGCTTTATTCAACCAGCCTCCAGCTTCAGCCGGTTTGTGGGTTTCTTGACAAGATCCTCCAGCTGAAAACAGTCCAGGGTGGGGAGTCCTTCCTTCATGTTCCTCTCTGACATGGCTTCCCTGTGGCACAGCCTCTGAGGGCTGCTAAAATGGAAATACATCGGCCTTCCCCCAGGAAGGGCAGGAGCGGGGTACTCTTCTGCCCCCCAGCCACTGACTGCCAAAAAAAAAGGGAACATTGAATCAACGTCCATTCAAACAACATTCGTACCTGACAAAGGACTAGCCAAGGTGCAAAAGGAGAGCCCAACGTTCATGACATTTCTCAAACAAGCTAAACCTTCTCCTGACTTTTTCTTTTTTTAAAGATGAGCTCATCCCCTTTTAACGCTCAGGGTTGGCAAAACTGACTGCACAACCTCAGCGTTAGCAGAGTCTGTTGCCTCCGTCCTGCTGTAGCCAGAGAGGGCTTTCCAGAGCAGGCGGGCCGCGCTCACGCAGCGTCAGCAACCTGCTCCTGCCAGGCTGCAGCTACTGCAGTCACGAAGTGGGCAGGCTCAGCTGGGGCAGTGTTTGCCAACTGGTTTGAAAACACAACCCTTGCTTTGTAAAGACAACTAGACCTTGCAAAGGAGTGGCCTCATAGGACTGAACCTCTTTCAGTCACGGGCGTTAGGCTTTTCTGTAAAGAAATCTTCAGGGCTTCTTTATAGCATAGCAAGGACCTGAAACACTTTACAGTTTTTGACTTTGTTTTCCCCACCAGGAGTCAAGGTCTGGTCTACATGGTTTTTCCTGAAAGGCTCCAGGAAAGCACAAAACCTAGGGAAACCATGGAGGGAAAGGGCTGCCACAAGGCCTCTCTGCAGCCCCGCAGAGAGATCCATGTGGCAGGCACCAGGCACTGCCAACAAGGAATACCTCAGCCAGCCCTGGATCAGCTCGGTTGGATGCTGACAGTGGTTTCGCTGTGTTAGCAAGATGGAGCAGCGCCAAGGCAAACAGACCCATGCTGCCTTCCGGTCCCCCGGCATCCTGAGAGATACCAGCTGCGAACAGGGCTCCAGCTAAATCAGACAGAGCCAATGAAGCAGACCCGCTCACCCCGCCAGGGCAATGAGCCTTACAATCACTTTTTTACCTGGGGGAGGGTGTGTGTATGGAAGGGGACTCAAGAAAGGTAAAAGGGGAAATATTCAGTACTTGAGACTCTGGTGCTCACTTGGCCAGATCACACTGCCTTCCCCTTGCCCTGGCAGGAAGCACCCCTGTGCTCCTTCTTCCCTGGCTGCCTTTCCTCACCTGAAGGACCTAAAGGTTCCCAGGCTGAGCTCACACCTTGAGAAATCTTGCTCCCACCTAGAGCATTATAGAAATAATGATATACCAGCTGGCAGCTCTGCAAACCTGCCAACAACATGCCACAGGGAGAGGTGGAAGAGAGAGCAGGGGATGGATACACAAACAACAAAATCAGCTCTTGTCCTGCTGCTGCAGAGGGAGGAACGTGCACCCATCACCCCTTCTGCAAACAAGAGGCTCTGCAGGGAGCCGACACCCCCAAAGCCCTGCGCTCGGCAGCAGCCCCGGCCCCAGCGGACGCCCTGCCTCCCTCGTATGTCGGTCAGACAGGCATCTGCGCCCAGTCACAGGGCTGGGATTTGTTCCACGTTTGGGTGATTTCATCTTAGCAGGCAGACAACGTTCGCAGATGTTTTCTTCTCCTCTCCAAAATCTATCACTAAAGCGGCTTGTGTTATTTCCCGGTGCTTACTGCATCCCCCCGCTACCAGCCCTTCCCGGCAGGCGGGTTCACGGTCTGTCGTAGCAAAATGAAGGTTTGCCGATGTCGGAGACGTAGGTACTCACGGAAACAACCGCGGGGCCGGAGCCGGGG